TATAAAAAAATTATTTCTAAATTATTTTGTTAAAAAGATAAAGATTATGGGGATTTATTAATTGTATTGTTTTTATTTTTTCTTACCCCGCACTAGATTTCTCTTTTTTGATGATTTTCATTTTTAAAAAATGTGATTCTGTAAAGCTTCAATCTCAAAACAAAATTAGCTCTTCTTTTCATTGAACTAGTACCATGAAAAACAAGTCATCCATTTTAGTTATTTGTAAGAAATCTTGCCTTGCAACCTCTTAATTTACCAAAATAAAGCGCAAACTCTTGTGTCAATTAATTATAGTTTTTTAAAATCATTCCCGAATCTCTCCTTGACTATCCTAATTTGAAAATTGATTCTTTGTTTTTTACTAAATTATTTCAATTAAACCATTTTGATCAGCCTGTAGTTTAGTTGGGTTGAATTTTACTAAGAGGAAATTCTTTCAATGTCTTTTTTTTTTATTTATAAAATTTAAATCTAAAATTTCATTTAAAAAAAATTAAATTATTTTTACTCAAAACTAATAAGTCATTAGTTGAAATTTGATTCTATTTTTTTTTTCAATCAGTAAATTAGAAACGTTTGACTTCTAAATAGTGGGACTGGGATGTTCATGGGACACACAAGTATATCACTATACATTCGGTCCAATCTTTGAACATTCATTAATTGTTGAACAGCTAAAGTCAATTATGGAACACTGCTTATGTTTACTGAAACCCGTAGCACAGACCAAAAGTCATAACAGCTAATGTCAAAGATGCTGCTTGATGTCAAATATCAATGATAATGTCAATAGTAAATCACATGCTCTGCTAGCCTGTTACTGTAGTTGTAGTGTGCCATCACATAGACCCAGGGCGGAGGCAAAAATTTTTTTCGGAGGGTAAAATATTAAAGTTTAGGAGAAGTTAGATAATTTTTCATATATTAATTTATAAGATTTTTAAATTTCAGGGTACGAGCACCTCCCCTTGCACCCCTGTTCTACCACTGCACAGGCCGACTGGCACCAATTGACAGATTCATTTTTTTTTTGTTTTTTAAAGTTAAGAAGTCATCTAATTTATAATAACGAACTAAATAATTTAGTAAATATTTTTTTAATTAAAAATAAAATATTTTAAATTTGAATCACATGATATGTGAATAAAGTAAAATAAAAAATAAAATATGATCGTCTCGCATTATATAATTAAGAGAAAAAAAGAATCATCAGGTTTATAGCCAAATATAATTTGTTTATATATAAATATTTTTTATTTAAACAATTATTATTCTACATAAAATTTTATATATCTCGAGATTAATATACAGTATCATGTCAATGCCTTGCTAGCCAAACCACTACTACCATTAAACGCAACGTGTAACATGAAGAGGACCGAATGAAAACATAGTTTTGGCGCAGAGCTATCTACATGTGACGCACGTTAAAGCAAAAAGAAAGAATGGGAGGCGCTAAAAATCTGGTTGTTAAGGGAAGGTGGAGATGGTGAAAGGCAAGAGAGTTGACCGATAGACTGGGAGAATGAGAAGAACGCTACGCAACGCATTTCTTGCTATTCTGGATTTTTTATTTGGGCAACCAAAAAAAAAAAAAAATCATAATCCCTTTGATTTTGGTCTTGGATTACATCACCCATCAATTGCCTTGTTTCTACATGTGCAGAACGGAAGATGGGTTAGGTGCAGTGCAGCTCCATATTTATATCCGCCTATGCTACAGAACTCCCGATTCGAATCCCCACTTCCATTCACAGATACGAGGGAGAATGGATTCAGCGGAGGTTCCTAAAGAAGAAATTCTTCAACCATCTCATTTGGCTCTCGATATTGGAGGTTCGATCTTCATCTCTCTCGATCATTTTTATCCTTTCTCTCCACCCAAAATTTTTGGTTCGTCTGAGCTTTTGGGTGCATGATTCCTCCGGTTAATTGCCTAATTTTTGGAAAAATTTTGAAGGGTTTGTGTTTGTTTTCTTTAAATTTTCAGTCTTGGACTTAGTTTTTCATCTGGGTAGTATAGAGTGTTGTTTGGTCTGAATTAGGCTTGTTTCTGTTTTGTTCTAGCTAGGTTTCAAGTGAGTTTTTATTATTTGATTGTGCAGACACAAACTATGATCCTTTTTTCTTTTTTTTTTTATCCAAAGTTAAGTTCCTTTCTGGGTGCAGAAGCTCTTGTTCCAGGACGATAGCATTAAATAGAGAAAAAAATAATTCTATATCGCCATCTTTCACACCCTAAACTAAACTCTCTTTAATGGCCTCCTTTGTCTTTGAGATCCCAACCTAAGCTGTATTGACTTACCTTCTTTAAATGTACGTCTTTTGGGGAAAGTTAATGCCTTTTGTGTAACGTATTTGGTTGGCAGGATCTCTTATCAAATTGGTATATTTCTCAAGAAATAATAACAGGCTTACTGATAAAGAGCATAAGACTCTTGGCGAGGGTCCTGGTGTTTCCAGTGGTGATGGCAGTTATACTGTTCTTAAGGGGAAGCTCCATTTTGCAAAGTTTGAAACAAGCAAGATAAATGACTGCTTGGAGTTTATTCGTTGCAACAGACTTCACCTTGGTGGTATATATGCATTTTTTTTGTGATTGTTACACTGTTGTGTAGAATTATCCTGGGCACAGGAGGAAGCGTATTTTATAAACATCCTGACTGTTGCTTCTTTTCAACTTTTCTTAGAATTGCTTTTACAAGTAGAATGTATTATTATTTCTCACTATAATTCTGTGTCTCATCTTATTTGCTTCTCTATGAATAAATTCAGGTTTCTGTGAACATGAGGTTCCTCGTGACAAGATCTTTGTTAAGGTAAAATTATTATCACTGAGGTAATTTATGATTTCTGAGGAATTTGAATCTCAAGATACGCTGCTTTATAAACTAGGTAGGACCTTGGTCTTCTTTCTGTTGGATGGAATTCACTAATCAGGAAGTATCGGGGTTTCTCTGATTGCTTCTTTCAAAACTATAACTATCATCTGCTAAAAACATCCATCTCTAACTCACTTGATGCTCTTTGGATGGAATGACTCAAAAAGTAGGACTGGCTAGTTATTTAGTGATAGGAAATTGTTAGTTGTTTAAAAGGGGTGCTCTCCTAAAGTTTACCCATTTATTAAGTGGTTATATCTTTTTGAAGGCCACAGGCGGTGGGGCATACAAGTTTGCTGACCTTTTCAACGAAGAGCTTGGGATTAGTCTTGACAAGGAAGATGAGATGGACTGCCTGGTGTCCGGTGCAAATTTTCTACTTAAGGTTAGATATTGATAATGCTTACATATCTTCACATGTGATTTTTCAAGTTCTCTCCTTTCCATCTTCTTGTCTCTGATTTCAGCATAAGAATAAGCTGAACTTATAATTTAAAGTAAGAAATCATACTCATCCTTTAATGGAAGGAGGTGTCTACTATCTTACACTGGCAGACTGTTGTAACACTATTGTCATCAAATTTTCCTTTAATGTTCTACAGTAATTAGAGCTATTTTTTATGGTAAACATTTTTCTCCTGCATTTTTTTAATGTAGGCAGTTCAACAAGAAGCTTTCACATACTTGCATGGTCATAAGGAATTTGTGCAGATTGACCATAACGATTTGTACCCCTATCTTCTTGTTAATATTGGTTCTGGTGTTAGTATGATCAAGGTATTTTTCTCATAACTGTTAGTCATACCCAAGGATTTTAATAACTAAAACTTAGGCTAAAAGCCTTACGGACATGTAGGTAGATGGAGATGGCAAGTTTGAGAGAATTAGTGGTACCAACCTCGGAGGGGGCACATTTTGGGGTTTAGGAAGGCTTTTAACTAAATGCAAGAGGTAATTCCATTTTGTTACTTATCCACTACCTTCTAGTTTTCATCTATTATGCTGTTTTATTCTAGGTTAGATATGTTCCATGTTGCAGTTTTGATGAGTTATTGGAGCTAAGTCATCAAGGAAATAACAGAGTTATTGACATGCTTGTTGGTGATATCTATGGTGGAATGGACTATTCAAAGGTATAGCAAGCAGTTTATTATGCCCTGGTAGAATGATGATTCCAGTTAAGTATACTTTTAAACATCCCTTTGAAGTGTGCCATGTAATGGCAGCCACAATTGTTGTTCAGTATTGTGGAAGTCCATCAGTTTCCACATTGTTGCCCAAGAAGAATAATTTTCCACATTAATCAAACTAGTCGTGATAATTGAATCAGAAACTCTTTTCATGATGACAGATTGGTCTATCATCAACAACAATTGCTTCCAGCTTTGGCAAGGCAATTTCTGATAAAAAAGAGCTGGAAGATTATAGACCTGAAGATATCTCTCGGTCCCTTTTACGTATGATTTCAAATAATATTGGACAGGTTTGTTCTCTTGCACATGACAATTCTAACATTTATCAATAACTGATGTCCTTGTTGATCTGCTGATGGGGTTGACAAGTGTTTTGTTAAGATAGGCCTTTTTGGCCTCAACATGGAGTGGAAATTTCTCATCTTGCTTTCGCCTTCTTGTTTTAGCATACCATGAATAGACCAACACAGTCTAGTCTTTCTTTTTAGTTGCAATTCTCTCTCCACCATGCATAAAATGAGTTCATAAATATTTTTCGTTTTTATCCAAGCCAGTTGAAATTGACCTCTTATAGGTGATAGCCAACTTCAGTATTTTATGATGAGCTTCAACTCTTCTTCCATAAATATTGTAGTGTTTGTTACTGTGACGACCCCTCCTGCAACAAATAGATGAGTTTGAAATGTATATTTTGTTCCTGTATGACAGTAGATACTGCCTTCTGCGTTGATTTTCTATTTTGTTATGACATTTTATTGCACTATATTTTTATTATCTTGATATTACTAGTTTAGCATTTTATATACCATGTCATAAGAACTTAAATAGATTGAGATCTAGACGTTAGTGGCTTGTAGACTGTAGTCATTTGGATGGTCACCGTGTGTTCCTGGCCTTATTCTTGTTTCTTGCACAGATCTCCTACTTGAATGCACTTCGATTTGGGCTCAAGCGGATATTTTTTGGTGGATTTTTTATTCGCAGTCATGCCTATACCATGGACACCATTGCTGTTGCAGTTGATTTCTGGTAAAGAACTCAGTCATTAGTTCTTCAATGCGCACTTTGACATATATTCATTCATTTGTTATTATCTTTTTTATCCAGGGCACCCTCATTTTAAATTCTTCAATATATACTTGATGGTTCATGGTTGAATATACTTCATTTCTATTATGCTATATGTCTTCAGTTGATGATTAATTCCTTTTTGCTTTTTCTTCAATTATTCTCTTACATCATAGCTTTCAAATGTAATGAATGTTGCATTTCCCTCATATTTTCAGGTCTAAAGGTGAGGCCAAAGCAATGTTCTTGAGGCATGAAGGGTTCCTTGGAGTACTGGGCGCATTCATGAGCTACCGAAAAGAGAGTTGCTGTGGCTTAACAGTAGATGAAGCAGCACAACAATTCCCAATAAGTGTTTCCCATAGTGGAGATAAGATCTATTGCCCCTCAAATCAGGATTTGAATGACAGTATTGAGTGCTGTGTCTATGCAACCAAGCATCATTTGTAGCATCATCATCTTTCTTTGGCTTATATACAGACTAATCAAGGCAAACTTTTGGAAACCCTACTTCCCCAGAAACTGAAGGTAGAAAGTTGCATAAACATGTGTAACATAGTTGATACGTTCTATTTATAGGACCCTTGAATGGAAAGGATATAGAAACAATAAAAAGAGTGATGGCTGACAATTAAACATGATCGTGTAGTGTCTGTGCCTGCCTCCGTTGTGCCTGCCATGTGTGATGTATGTAGCTTGTCTGACTAATAAAATAGTTTCTACCAAAAGAATCTGTAAGGGGTCGATTATCAATAGTGAAAAAGATTGACAGTTTATTTGGGGTTTGTTTACAACGAAAAACTGTTGCGCAGTTTCGACACTAAACTGCATATCGAATTGCATAAAAGTGATTGTTGGATAAGAGACGCATCTCTCAATGTTGGGGGCGTCTCTCCATTTAATTATCCTTATTTTACACTTTGAAATAGTCTCGATCATATGGGACTATCCAGAACTTACATAAGCAATACAAACAGTTTATGTAATAGAAGAGAATTTTACGAAGTTTGAAATGAAAACACTCGTTATTTTCTTTCTGGGTTATTTTGATATTAAACACAAATGCAGCGGGTTAAAGATTATTATTGAACTAATTACTGTATGATGTTTCAGCAGCCAACAGCTTCCTACAATGTTGCTTTTGCATTTCTCCTACGCATTCTCCATCTTTCTATAATATCATATATATCTGATCAACTTGCTGTTCTTCATTTATACCCACAGATATTCCAAGGTCTTCATTAGAATGGACAATATTGAAATCCCTCCTGATTCTGGCAGCTTCAGCAAGCAGATTAGTTATCAGCATCTCCATCTCCATGGTGTTGGAGCTACTTCTCCACAGCTTCCAGCTAGAAATGCGAGGGGGACGGGTGATTTGAACCACTGATCCAATCTTTCCTTTACTGTTTGTACATGAATAATAGTCCGCAAACGTTTTAGGTTCAGTAGGGAAGCAGGTTTCTTCATCCACAAAAAGAGGATCTATTGCCACTTTCCAGCAGCCTTCAAATCTTGGCAGGACCCGGTTTTTAATTAGTTTGAACTTCACCTGTCAAAACCTCACCACTGGAAAAACGAGATATTGACACTTTCCCATGCCCAAGTTGTTTACTAGTAACTAAATAAAAGAGAAAAATTAAAAGACATTAGCTCCTTTTCTTCTATATTAAGATCAGTTCTAACATGAAATGACAGGGTCCCCTGACCAGAAGAGGACACACTCCATGTAGCTGCTTGTTCATATTCAAGCACCAACCTTTGACCTTTAGAAAATAAAACCTTGCTTGATACAACATCCTGGACAATTAATTACTTTCAAAGTCACAATTTCAAGAATCCGCTATAACATCAGAACTAAATTGCTGAAAATTTGTGTCATTGTATATAATCATACGATCGGGATAGCTCACTATGAGAGAAAACATTCCACTTACCTTAATTCTCTTTGAAGATTCTGTTATCAGGATCGGTTACCATGTTAACTACTGCATCTGGGGGCAATCCGACAGTAACCTTTATATTACCATTGCAAAGAGAACCTTTTGGTAGCTGACCTGCCATGCATAACATTAGCTTTGACTGTACGTTCTTGTCAGGGCTTGTCCACGATCAGCACACTAAAAAGTGTTAAGACCATAACCAGTGCCAGGAGATAGGACAAGACTCTTTTTATCTATCCTTTTGAGATTGTCTTTTATTTACATTGATAAATTTTCACGAGTTAACTATTGACAGAGAGATCCCTCATCCCTCCATCGATGGTTAAGTTCGCTTTTCTGAATTTTCATTATAATTGCAACAAAACGCCGCAATTTATGACATTTATCCAGAAATGAATTACAGAACAGAAGCAATGCAAACATTTTGAGGTAAAAGAAGAATTTTACCAAGTTCTATATGAAATTGCTCCTAATATTATTGCTATATAAATTTAATATAAAATACAGATACAAGAATTTTGAACTAATCACTTCTGCATTCGAGATTCAGCAGCGAACAGCGTCCGAGGATGTCGATTCGCACTTCGCCTATGCAAGCTCCATTTTTGTTTAATGTCACGTATCTGATCAACTTGGTGTCCTTCATTTATTCCTGTAAATAGTATAAGATCTTTGTTCGGGTTTAGGGAGTTGAAACCTCCCCTCATTCTGGCAGCTTCAGCCATAAGATCAGATAACATCATCTCCGTGGTCTTTGCTGTAATTCCTCTCAGATACCAGGAAATGAGTGGGGGGAGGGACAAGGGCAGGTTGGATCAGTTGTTCCAAGGTCACCTTTGATCCAACCCTTCCTTTGCCTCCCGTGCAGGAATAATACTCAGCCCATGATTTTGGTTTGAAAGGAAAGCACATTTTTTCATCAACGAAAATAGGTTCTAATCTCCAACAACCTTCAAATCTTTTCATGAACCCGCTTTTCACTTGTTTGAATCTCAGCTGTCAAACAGTCATCAATAGAAATGAGAGAAACGAGTAGTTTATTCCGGTGCACAACTGTTTGCAAATAAATAAAAATCGAATTGTTGTCCTTCTTATTAAGGAATTAAGCATTATTATATGTGAAGGAAACAAACATTCATAAAGAAACCAACTTAGAAAAGAATGGGGTCCTTACTGAGTGATCTTCTCTGTTCTGATCAACTAAAACATGAACCGAGATGACTCCTGACCACCAAAGAAATCTCCATGCAGCTGCTTGCTCCACTTCAACCACCTGCCGCTGACCCTCATCAAGTAAAACTTTTCTACATATGACTTCCTGGAAAAGATAATTAACTCAGGTTACAAAGTTGATGAAACTGCAACAACATCAAAAGTTCAGAACTATGGTGACAATTGCATAAGACTTGTATAATGATATAATTTCTTATATCCGGAAAGCTTACCGTGAGTGAAAGCTACACTCACCTTAATATTCTTGAAAACTCTCTTGTTATCAGGATCAGTTACAATATCATATACCGCATCAGGAGGCAACCCAATATCAAGTTTCACATTGAGGTTGCAGAAAGAACCTTTTGGCACACTTACCTGCCAAGAATAACATTAGATTCAGGATAGTAACGCGACATGATGGATCCTCAGGATGAAAATACAAAGAAGCCATCATGAACTTTTAGCAGATTCAAGCAAATACAATGAATCGATTTCTCAGGTTTTTGGCCCAAGCTTTCTCTGGATTCTAACTCTGCTGTAGCACTCCTTTAGTGAGCAACTTATGCATCTTTAAATATTTTTTGGGTGAGACTGCAAAAGATACTTCATTCAGAAGGAATGAAATGGCTGAGACAGAAGATCAAGCAAAATCATCACTACTTCTAAGACATAAAGTTAAATTTCCATGTAATTCATTATTACCTCTATCTGCGGAGGTTGATCAACCCATGAAGGATTTTCCCTCCAAGCTTGCAACTGCCTCTCCAGATCAATCCCAAATGCAGTAGATGAACCTCTATCCTTTCCCAGAATAGAAATCGACGAGATTATCCTTTCGTCATCTTTTGCTAATCTGTTGAGCTGTGTCTGTGACAAGAAATACGATATTCTTTTTATCTTTCAAAACCTAACGTAAATATAACGTGCATAATCATGGCCTTCAAATTAAGTGAATGACCCCCATACAAGAAACCATGACTAACCTTGCGGCAATTTTGAAGCTTGCGAGGAAGCTCGACAAAAAATGAAGAAAATGCTGGATCAAGAACCTTGATAATTCCACTTTCCCCTTTTTGGCCTAAGGTTATCCTGCTGTCTTTACTCATGGCAAACTCAATCTTTTTTTTGATCCCTTCCATCCCAGACATTAAACCTGAGGTTTTTTTATTTTTATTTTTTCAGATGTATTAGTCCATTGGATGGTCAAAAGGATATCTCATTTTATCATAGCTTTAGATAAGAAAATATGCAAGATAGTGCAAGCAACTGATATCATAAATTCTGACAAAAAAACATGGACTAAATCTAAGATTCATGATTATTAGGGTTGCACCCAGAACTTTAAAAGAAAACATGGACTAAATCTAAGATTCATCATTATTTTGTATACAAAGTTAAAGCTGCATATATACAGGAAAACAGGATAGTCTATTATAAGGCAACATACAAATTATAGATTCCAGTTTAATATAGTTTTAGTAACCCCAATTACTAGGATAATATATATATATATATTTTTTGATCGGCAATTACTAGGATAATAATAAGCACATCAATTTTACTTGAGGATAAAGCAGATTGTGTCTTTGTAATGACCATTATATGGGACCTAGACTTAACTGCTATTTGTGTCTTTGTTTTTGTTAAGGTATGCTGATTCCAGCAAGAGCTAGCTTCCCAGTCATTCGGAAATCAGACAAACATCTTAAGAAAACTTGAACTCTTGAATTTGAAACTCCCTCGTTTCCTTATCTAATTCCAATCTGAAACATCAATCTACTAACTTAATTCTAAGCAAGAAATCATGTAATTAATACAACCTGGATAATGGGGAAAAAGCACATTAAATGTTCTCTTAGATTTCTACCATAATCCCAGAAATGCAACAAAAGTAGTAACAATTTATAAAACTCAAAACTTGACATCATAAACTAAAAATGCCACAGAAAAGAGCCTAATTATCTGCAACAAGCATCACCCCATCGAAGGTTTCAGCAGAATTCAGAAATTTCATTCAAAAGATGCAATAAAAACATTTTATTCTTCAATTGATTTTTACTCTGTATGTTGCAACTGAAAATTCTTTACATTTCCTGCTTTTCTTGTAGCTTGTGCTTGCTGTAGCACAAGGTAATTTGGTAAGGAGGGTATGTCTAGTTAGCCCCTTCTTCCCCACATTATCAATTATCCAAGAAAAAATAATGGCAGCTATTTTACTTTTCAGATGCCAATGAGCAAATGGCAGAGTTTGGTTACCATGTTTGCCATTTTAACCCTATGAATTTGCCAAGTAGTAGGCTGCTTGTCTGAAATTCAAATAACTAGAAGAAATCAACGAGATTGGATCTCTCAAAGCTGTTCATCGACTACTAGAAAGCTGCTAGTAGATATGTCATGGATCACATACATAGAAAAACTACAAATGCATAATCAAAGAGAGATTACAACAGAAAACATGTTCTTTTATTCATTACTAGGGAACACACCAGGCAGAATTAAAAACGTACTCACACACCATAGACACTATTTAGCTAAAAGATAGTTACTCAGGGTAAGACTGCTGCTGCATCCAAAACATAACTATAATACACAATAACACAACCAACCAAGGACATAAAATACTAAGAACTCTTTTGCAGACCTCTCCTTTGCAGACCAATCCTTCTTTTGGTTTTGCTTCCTCCTTGGCATCACCTTCAGCTTCCTCCTTGGCATCACCTTCAGCTCCTTCATCTTGCTTCAAAGCACACTTTGGATGGAGATCAAAGTCGCATTCTTTACAATAATATGACCAGACATGTCCTTCTTCCCCACATCCATCACAGTAGAAAGACCCTTGACGAGTAAGAATGAGCTCATGCTCTTCATGCAGAGGGTGC